CATAAACATAATCAAGGAATCAATCTCTCCTACACAAATTCATACCAAAAGTATATTATAAGAGAGCCCAAAGATCCTTGTTTTAATTCTTAATTCAGGCTAAAACACTAATGCATAAAACTTGTCTATTGCTTTAGTCCTTACTTAATTCATATTAATGATAAGAGGGATCAAGGAGGAAACTTACTTTCTAGAAAGTAAAGATAGCAACCTCATCGAAAATCAACCGTAATATATCTTTATAACATTATAGGTGGATTCGTATCAACTCATAGAAAATGTTCTTATCATGCATGAAATCATAAACATGTACCCGGGAATTGCAGGTATACATCTTAAGAACTTACGGTGTAATCATGAAATATTCATTTCTTTTAAACACAGATAAACAATCTAAATATAATATAAGTGTTCATGGTAAATTATTCTGCCAAAAATTCCTTGTTTCTTTTAAAACTTTCCTTAAAAGTCAATAATGAAATTTTTCATACAGAAAATTTCCTTAATCATATATATCATCACTCGTAAGATTATTAATTCAAATTAAAATTATCAAAAAGCACATAAAACTCACACTTAAATACCAAAAACATAATTATATTATAAAAAACATCAAAGACATATGAAAATGTTTAATCAAAATAATCATAAACACTTATTGTTCATAATATCTATATATAATATAATAATAGTATCTATAAGATAATATTACTAGTATAACATATCTATAATTTTAATTGTGATTAATAATAAATAGACAATAACAATTGATAAAAAAAAATATTAAGCACTCCATCACTATCCCTTAAAAGTGGGTTTAACGGTGCCTATATTCAGTTTTATATGGAAAAACAAGGGAATTGTTGTTGAATTTTTCACTTTATATCCCCATAAGCAAGCATGCGCTAACATTACACTCATGTATGTTTCTAACTCAAATTAAGGTTATCATCATATTCAATCAACTTCATATCCAATGTCCAATATATCAGTTAATATAACACAATTAATACCACACTTTTTCCATGAGATAATTTTTACAAACAAATTTTTCTAACATATTATATCCATTTATAAACATATTCCACAATTATACACACTTTTAATTTCAAACTATATACTCTTGATTTTATTTATATTCATAATCAGTAAATCCAAAAAAACGAGTTTTTTTAAACAAATATATTAATTACTATAGATGAAAACTTATATACCTCAACACCTTGATTCTTACATACGTTTTCTAAATACATTATGTATTTATTCCAATGTTTTCAAGTTACATAGACATTGTATTCTTTATATATTAGCATATTAAAAATTAAAAACAATTGACCACCTTTATGACTGGTGTTTATTAAGTATCATATAACTTGAGTTAATAGGTTCTACCAATTATGAGTGAAGGTTATAATTAATTATAATAAAAGCTATAATTATATTAAATTATGATTACAATGTGTATTGTTATAGGAGTATTCAATAGACTCTCACCAATACTAATTTGTAATATATGTATGGTAAATCAAAAGGGCTAGGAACCATCATGAACCATACAGTAACCAAATCATGATTCGCAGGAACCAAATTCATTTTAATGAGTTTTATTAAAGTTTCTATTACACTTTTAATTCTTAACTACTCTATATATATAAACCAAATACCAGAAACTCTAGGCGAAGATCTCAAGTACAACATAGGGCAATAAACTCTCCAGATGAAGAACTCAGAACATAAATCTTAGCATTATAGTGCACTAAATTCATGAAGAACTCAGAACATAATCTTGCCATTATAGTGCTCAAAATGGGCACTCAATTCAAAGATGCATGTGGTCCGGCATAACAGAGTCAGTTTGGATTTTTCAGCCATAAGTTGAGATATATACATCCAAATTGGACCTAAGAGGATGTTTTGGAAAACTAAGAAGTAGACCTACAACTTTCATGAAGATCTCAGACACAAATGGTAAACAAAAAGGATCGAAAAATAGTCTTTAAGCTTACCCAATAACACATTTTCCCCAAATTCAGCTTACTTTAAACATGAAAGAACATGAAAGACAAAGTTACATGTAGAGATTTCTACCACATACTAAATACAGAACATGAAAGACAAAGTTACATGTAGAGATTTCTACCACATACTAAATACTCATCAAACATCGCCCAAGATCATGTTATTGCAACCAAAGTTCAACAAATCAATCATTTCATACAGAATCCCAAAACTATACATGATAACATAAATGCACAAAATAAAAAATTAAAGTAAGGTAATTGTGTTTATGAACACTAACCTTCAAAACAAGCTTCAATAAGCTTTAATCAAAGCTCCTTAAGCTTTGGTCTTGCCCTCAACCTTGTTAGAAGGCTCTTCACCCGTTGACCCAAGTAGAAAAAAATCACCAAATTCCTTAAAATTTGTCACCAAAAATCACTTCTCAAGCTTTAATCTCTAGGATTTATTATTTAAATCAAGTTGGATGGGTAAATTTGGTGGATTTAGCAAGTAGAAGATGAAGAAAAACAAAGAGAAGAAGAAGAGGAAGTTGGCGTTAAAAATGGAGAAGAAGAAGAAGAAGAAGAGAAGGAAGAAAAGGGTTGCTCAATAATTGAAAGTTTGACCTTTAATAAAGTGATCAAAGGAGTTATTGTAGGTCTTTTTCCCCACAATTAGACCGGCTAAGATTAAGTCAATAAGTAATCTCATCATAATGGGTACAGAAAACAATTCCTCCAATTAAAATTCCTGATCAAAATCTTATTTTCTCTCGCAAAAATTCTAGATTTACTCAATAAAAAATAATTCCTCAAATTTCCTTAATTAATATAAAACACCGATAATTCCACTAATTCACTAATTATCTAAATCTTGCAAAAAATATTCAATTACTTACTTTCTACAGCATAAATCATAGATATTGCAATACTCCAAAAAAAATATTAAAGAAAATATAAACATATATAGTAAATTTTTCTAGAACCAAACAATACCGTGACTCCCGACCGATAGTACTTATTCACAGACCTGGTGGTAAACTATATCACCAGAACCGGTAATCACTATCCATTTCATAGTTAAATTACAGACTGGTGGTACTATTCACAGACCGGTAAATCACTATCCATTCATAGTTAATTATACTCAATATCTTCCTCGGATCTAAATAAAATATCATCCCCCTCTCTGTAGCACCATTCATGACCTGATAAAATAATACCATTTTAAGATTCGAAAATTTTGGGGCATTACACCAGAGGTATTCTGAAACCTTTTCTTTGTGTTACCTATACTGTTAGGGCCAGAAACATGCAAATATTAGGTTAGAAATCAAAGAATGAGTAGAATTTTACCTGATTGGATGTTTTGGGCTTTTTAGGCATGTTGCGGGCGGCTCTGGCTTGCGCCACATGTATGTGGCTCACGCCACAGTGTCTGTATGTACCTTATTTTTATGATTTTCAGCGTTTTTCCTTGCTTACCTGCATCAAATACATGAAAGACATGCCTATGCACTTTATTAACATACTCACAGTAATTTATTTTTGCAGAAGGGTGCGAGGCATGGGAAATCCGGTGGCAACACCTTTACAACAGGTGAATGGTTTGACTGGCTCCCCGAGTGGGTCTAGGAGCGTGTCCAGGAGGCAGGCTTCAGTCACTTTGTCGATACCCTTCCCCGGGTGCAGGGGCAGACTTTACCGTCTAGCATTCTAGAGCTGATGGAGCGGTGGATGGACACCACACATACATTCCATCTACCATTTGGTGAGATGACCATCACACCAATAGACCTTGTTGCTATCACAAGATTACCATTTAGAGGATTATCATTGGTCTTTGATGACAGAATAAGGACACTGGACCGTCCAAGCCTGCGGGCGAGCCTCTGAGTTGCCATTGGAGTGGAGTCCACTATCTTCGACCAAAGGGTCAAGTATGAGAGCATCTATACTTACTATCAGGAGATGCCTCGGGAGCGAGTAGTTGAGATGGATGTAGACGTGGTAGCACGAGCCTACTTATTCTATCTGCTGTTGACTACCTTATTCACGAACCATGGTAACGATGCAGATTTGGTGCTGCTACCACCATTACAGGACCTGGATGCCATCAGCAGTTCAACTAGGGAGCTACCGCTTTGTCTTATGTTTACTATGGCATGGACTTGTGCGTCCGTGGAGCCTATTTGAAGGTCGGCTACAAGCGGGTTATAGGGATACAAAATCATATCTTTTGGTTAGCTAGTCCTCCCCATGCTTGGCTTGTTTGGCTTTGAGGGAGGTTTAAATGCGAGAACTCTTGCTCGAGACCGAGCATGGCTATATAGCAGGAGGTATTCTCATATTACCTCAGACGTTGTGATGTTCTGTCAGTTGCTGAATGGCTCGAGCTGGGATCAGTTAAGTCGCTACCTCCCTTTGTTCATTTTTCTTTTGTTGATGTTTTTTTTCTTCTTTTTCTTTTTCCCGATTTCTTTGCTTTTCTTCTTTTTTCTTTTTTATAGATAGAGAGATATGCATGGGGAGATGCAGCTGAATTTCCTGATTTTGTCCAGGCATCTGTCGCCTATCAGCACCGACGTTTCCTCCTTTTGGGTCTATTTTACGATATGTATTATCTCAGAGAGAGGGTATATGAGTGTGAATACCCAAATTTTGAGGCTCAGAAAGCCTGTTTTTCCGGACTGCAAACAGTCCGGCCGGACCGGAGGCTATTTCGGAGCGATGGCTAGAAATGGGATGGGAGGGGTGAAGAATGGCGTTGCCCTGGCGCTAGCGAAGAAGAAGAGAAGAAGAAAGAAAAAAGAAAATGGGTTTTTCTGGAATTTTCTAGGCCATTTCGGTTCGATTCTAATTGGTTTGGCTCAATTCAATGATTTGGCTCCATTTTTATGTGGATTTCGAGTTTTTCACTTGGTTTTTGGAAATTTCAATTGGGTTTACAGGTCTAGTTAATTTATTTTAATTAACTTAAGAGGCTTAGAAAAATCTCAGTTAGGAGCCGCCCCACTTCCTGGGCAAGGCCTGCCGCCCGGCGCGGGCGAGGCCTGCCGCCCAGCGCGCCCTCCGGGCGAGCCTGCCGCCAGCGCGCGGGCGGGGCTTGCGCCCAGTGCTCGCAAGGGCGGGGCCTGCCGCGCGCGCGGGCGAGGCCAGCCCGCCAGCGCGCGCAGGGGCCCTGTTCGCCCCGCGCAGGCGGGTGCCATGGCCCCCCACGCCCTGGGCGGCACCTGCCCGCCACAGCTTGGGCGACACCTGTTCGCCCAGACCAGGCGGGGCCCTGCCGCCCCACCGACTGGGCGGCAGCCTGCCGCCCTCCAGGCAGACACCCCCGCCCAGAGCAGGCCGAGGGCTGCCGCCTCCTTCGACAGGGCGGCAGCTGCCGCCCTCGGGCGGCTGGGGCGGCACCGTGCCGCCGAGCCAGGCCGGCACCTGCCGCCCAGCCCCCATGGGCGGCAAAGCTGCCGCACTGGACCTCCGAAAATGGCCTATAAATAGGCCATTTTCAGAATCCAATTTTTGCACACCTGTCTGTTTTTTGAACGGACGAATCCTTACTCCCTCTTCACGGGGCTCCTTGCGTTTTCTTTACCACACTGCTTTTTGCATTTAAATATTAATTTTTATTGCATTTTTTATTGTGATATTTGACCAACTAATTAAATAAAATTGAAAAAATTAATTAAATATACCTTAAACGAAGGAGCCTTAAACCTGGAGTTTAAAGAAGTGGTCACGACCGATTAACAATCAGGTAACGTAAACGAAACTCTGCCTATTTAATTTAGGCAACTTCATGCATACTTTCCTTTTCTACTCTTAATAAAATTCCTAATAAATTGCATAAACGCATTCACATCAATCATTTAGCAAATAAACCGTCTTAAAAATTAAAGTTTGATTAAGCTTAAAAAAAATGCCCGGTTAATACAAATAATTCGTGGTATTAAAGTTTAAATCCGACAATATTGGCTTAAAAAGAGCCTTGTTTAATTAATAAACTACGGTTCCAAAAGCTGCTTAATTTCCGAACAAATCCGGCTTAAAGTCCAATTAATCAATAAATTGTGACTAAAAGCCTAAATCATAATTTTTGTTGGGCAAAATGCTAACAAATCAACGTTTTTCGGCTAAAAGAGTCGTAAAAAACCTGCACATTTTGGCGAATACGCCATTAAATCAATCTTTTTTCGACTAAAAAGTCGTAGAATTGAACCATATTTGGCCAAAGGCCTAAAAATCAATCAATTTTAGCGACAAGTCGCTTAAAGATCGACAATTTTTCGCAAAATGCCTTTAAAATCAACCAATTTTCAGGCTCAAAGCCGTAAAAATCGACATTATTTGGCAAAATGCCTTAAAATAGAACAATTTTCGGCCAAAAGGCCTAAATCAACCATTTTTTTGGCGACAAATCGCTTAAATCGAACATTTGGTAAATTAATTGAATCAACTCATTTTGGCCAAAGGCCTTAAAATCAACCATTTTGGCGAAAATCGCCTAAAATCAACATTTTTGGCATCAACACATTTTGGCTAAAAGCCTTAAAATTAATCATTTTAGCGACAAATCGCTTAAATCAACATTTTTGGCAATAAATTGCCTAAATCAAACTTTTTGGCACAAATGCCTTAAAACCTACACTTTTAGCAACAAATGCCTAAAAATCAAATCAATCAACTTTTTGGCAAAATGCCTAAACAAATCATGCACAAAGCATACATTCATGCACAAAGCATACAATCATGCACAAAGCATACAATCATGCACAAAGCATACAATCATGCACAAAGCGCACAATCATGCATAAAGCATACAATCATGCACAAAGCAACAAAATTCATGCATAAAGCATACACACAAAAATGCACAAGCATACAACAAAATTCATGCACTAAAGCATACACACACCCATGCATTAAGCATATCGTCAAAGCCCTCCAAAGAGGCTTATCGAACTCGTGACTTTGATCTTCCATTCAAACGGAAGTACGTAGGGCACGTTCGGATTTCACCCCGGGTGGCCAAGTCAAAATCACCATAAACATTTCATTAATCCATCATTCACTTGCAAAGCATTTCATTTCATCGGTTAGTTTATCAGCATTGACATTAGTCTCGGCGATCCATCTCGGGTTTGCTACCAGCCTGTAAACATTTGGGGATAATTTAATCTAGTAACTAGGTTAATTAAAAAATCCGGAGTCACATAGGGTTTTTTTCCTAGTTTACCCTAAAATAATTAAACAAGGTGGCGACTCATACCATCTCACGTGCATTTTGTCCTAAGACAAGGTGGCGACTCATACATTCACGTGCATTTCTGTCCTTAGTCACATGCATTCACATGCCTATATGACATTTGGGGAAGGGGTTCACAATGAGTGGGAGCTTAGCCCGAATAGAAGGAGGGTCCTCACGATGTCCCATATTACATGATGTTTACCAAATCGATCCGGCTAGAGCAAGACATCGCAGCTGCTCAGAGAGGTTAGGTTGCCACTAATCACCTTGTAGCTTTTATGCCCGACGCTTATGCCGTATTTGTACGAACCTAGCTCGTAGTCCGCATCCCTCCCCCAACTGAGACTAGGGCAGTGCCCCAGTTCAGATAGACTTCATCTCTTTTATTCTGTTCTTGGCTTTTGCCCCAGTGTGCTATATTCATAAACTAAGTCTTATTCTTACAGCAGTAGCAACAATGCGGTAAGCGCGTGAGGAGAGGTTCCGAGCCTAGAGCTCCGGATATGGCTGTTGTTGTAGGTATGCCAGAGCACGGGCCAGGTGCCTCGTTCTCCTTCATTCTGGACCACACGGGTCAGACTGCCCAAGGTATGCTGAAAATGCATCTGGTGAGTCCATACCGGATGTCACCACCTGACTGCACCCATTTATTCTGATATCAGCTTTTTATTATTTTGATATCTGCCTTTTATTATTCTAGTTGCTTATTGTGATCCCCTGTCCCTATCTTATTTTGCAAGTGTCCATTGATGACTACAATGAGGTGTGCCAGCTGTACGAAGCGGCGCGCCTTAAGTTGGCAATGGCAAGGCTCTCGGATGAGCATGTGTCTGTAAGTAAAAAAATAATAACAAGAACAATATGCAATGCGTATGCCATGTATGCATGAAGTGCATTTACTAATGCTTATGAATGTATACAGAGAGCTAGCATGGCACCTCCTGCTGGCCGGGGTCAAGGGACACAGTGTGGCGGGCGTACTGGTCGTGGAGCTGGACACAAGCAGGTGGTCATTGAAGAGGCCAAGGAGACCAGTAACAACGATTCAGAGGAGATAGGTTCCAACATGTCTTGAGTTGGTTGCCCCAGTCTTCTTTTTCTTTCTTTATTTTGTTTTTATAGTCTGGACCCAGTTCAGGGAATTTCTTTGTAAAGAATGATTATTCTCTCTCTTTTTTTATATATGAAGGCCCCAAAAGCCAGTTTCTTTACATGTTCTTGAGTGATATTGGTATGTTCGAGCTTTATAACTTTATAACTATTATTTAAATTGCTTGTTGAATCTGAGAATTGAAGAGTGACAAAGCAAAATCTGCTCCAAATAACTGCTAGCTAGTGGCGTGTGCCACTAGTACTGCTAGCTAGTGGCGTGTGCCACTAGTACTGCAGTGGCAGCTAGCTGTCAACTTGTCCTTTGATTTTCTTACTATAAAAGCCAATAAAACATTTATTCATTACATAAGTACTTTATTCTCATTCCAGACAAACTCTCAACTCAAAAACTTCCCCAAACTCTTTATTTCTTCTTCATTTTTCATAGATCGGTCCTTGGCACCTGCTTTCGAATCATTATTCCATAGTTTTAGCCATGAGGATTAGGATTTGCTGACACCATTCGAGCTCAACGGGCTAAACTAATACCAGAACATTCGAGTTCAACCCGGATTACTGCAACGGTTGATACACCACTTTGTTCCTTCGGATAACTTATTTCACCACAATAACTTTGGGATCTGCCTACTGTTTGAAGAATTTAGCATCATTTTTAGGAGAATACTCGTGGTGGAAGAAGTTCTTGTGGTGCCCCAGTTGGATATAGACCTTGCTTAATTGATACTGCCTGTTTTCGATTTTTCGGCTTACGAGATTCCATCATATGACTTCGAAGCTGATGTCGTGCCCTTGCAACTGCTTGTAGATCGTGCAATGAGGATTGACCACACTAGCCCATACTGGCCTTCACTTGTCTGCTTTTGTATTCTTAGTCAGTACTTGCTACTTAGTGGCATTGATGGCTATGGCGGCCGAAGGCTGGTGCCCACAGTCGAACAGATGGCTAGGCGACGTACGCTGTTTTCACTTATTTTGGCTGAAACATTTATTTGGCTGGAAGTTCACGCTCAGCACCTTAGCTCGGTACTTGGTCTGATGGGGAGTCCACTTCTTTGGCAAGTAAATGCATTTTTCTTTCATTTTTTTTCTTATTCTTCTTTTTTTTTTCTTATATATATATATATATAATATATATATATATATATATATATGCTCTATCTTTGCTTAAGCGCCCTTGGGGTTTTTTTCTGACTTAAATGAGCTTTTCCTTTTTTCAATATATATATGCTCTAACTTTTGCTTAAGCCGCCCTTTGTGGGTTTTTGACTTAATGAGCTTTTCCTTTTTTCACTTCTTTTTCTTTTGAAAATTTTTTTGTATTCGTTTTCTTTTCCTTTTTTTCTTTTCTTTTGTTTAAATGCATTTGCAGTTGTGGGCCTTTGAGAAGTTACAGGTGATGAACCCACTATCGGACCATTTGATGTTCGATTATAGACAGAGAGTCTATGTCTGTCATTAGCGCCATTTAGACCGGACTGCTATTTTTCAGGATCTTATCTTCGAGGGAGTCAGATGAACTTGCCCCTGGTGGTACATAGAGCCAGTCACAGTTTCTTCTTACATGCTCTATGTGCCCTTGTGTGGCTTAACAATGGCAATGGCCTATTATCCTAGTCGAGTAGCTAGGCATTATGGTTGTCATCAGGCTGTCCCTAATTACATGCGGTTCGAGGGTGGCCTTATTACCTAGCGATTTTTATCTCGCTTTATTTCCACTTGGCCTAGTCGTACGACGGTAACTATTTCTGATGTGCCTGATACCTCTTCTTCAGACTTGTACCGCTCTTGGCTGTATGCTTATTCTGGAGTCAATGCTGATTCGGAGTCGGCTGATCTGTTGCACTATTAGGACCTAGCGTGTAGATGCCCTATCCTGCTTTCTAATGAAACGTACTAGACAATTATTTATAGTGCAATTATATGAATGTATACACTTATTATGAATGAAATTCTTTTTGCTTAAAAATGCTTGATATATTTCCTGTTATTCTATTACATCAAAGTAAATTTACAACATTCGCATGTTAACATAAACTTAGCACAACACACTTTAAAGTTAATAAGAATACAAAAGGTAAATTTATTAATTGGG